GGGGGGGGGGGGGGGGACGGACGGGCGGGAGGGAGAAAAGACTCTTATTTATTTTATTTACATACAAAGCCAAACTAATAAATCAGTTTAAGCTGTTTTACTGAACAAACTCCCCAGTGACCTTCAGAATCAGCTGGTCAAAACAAAAAGTGATTTAATTTTTATTTTGGGGGGGGGCGGGGACAAATAAACATGGTGCCATTTGTTGTCCAAGTATTTTGATGGAAGTCAGTTTTCTGGATTTTTGAACACTAACAGATAGTTATTCATCAAAATTCTTAACAGAAGTGTGCTGCTTGGTATTCTCATTAATTTAGTCATCCAATCATGAAGTAAAAAAAAAAATCCCACTTAGTTTAGGGCTTGACTACATGCAGAGCTGCACCAACTTAACTTAAGGTGCAATTTTAAACTGTTTTAGTTAAACCAGTGCAAAAGGCTACATGGGTAACTATTTCAATTGAGCTTTACTCTATTAGGAACAGGTTTAAGCTAACCTGAAATGTATTCACACAGATGTAGGCACCAGTCTAACTGATTTAATTATGTGGATGCAAGCTTGTGTATAGACAAGATCTAAGGTGAACAATGAACATTTGTAACCACCAATAGTTTGCTAACAGTCCACAAGGTGAAATTTGTTCAAATCATTCTGTGAACAACTAACATACATTCGTAGAAATCAAATCAGTTTGCTACTGATCTGTGAACAGAAAAGTAGGCTATGTTTATTGAATAGCTTATTCAAAACAAGTAATTTGACAAGTTTTACTCAGATGCCTGTAAGGGGCTTATTTTTCCTTGAAAAAGGTGTCAATACAATTCTAACTCCACTTTCCCAGATAGTTTTTGAATGCAATACTCATGTGAAATTATTCATACAAGAAGAATAGAAGCACACTATAGTAGTTACAAAATTGCAAATACCAGAAGCGATATTTTGCTTCAGGTAAAATTGTTCATGGCTAGTGTATAATTAAAACTTGAATATGAGAAACCAGACTAAACTGCTGCTTTAAAAAACAAAAAAAACCTGCGAGAAGTTACTGATCTCTAAATAGAATATTCCCAATATACCTAAAACTCTTTCATACCAGGCCTAATAGTGCCACCTTCTGTTCATGCTTCCTAATGAGTTATCTACTTGCTCATTATAACATTAATCCTGATTGTTTTGTCTGTGTAAATTGGGTTGATTTGATGAAATAGAAAAATGTTAAGCACAAAACAAGTTCCTGGAAGTTGTAGCATCTAACATGAAAACAACTAAGAACTTTGCCTCACTACTTCAGAGTTAGCCATCAAGCTACATACGGGAGGGAAAAAATTACATCCCGGGAAAGCATACAACTCCAGACTGAGTATCTTGAGACAGCATAAAGGACAGAGGAATTTATTTCAAAATGTTTGCTCTCTAGGGATAGGCTTTGATATACATGACTTAGCAATTCCCTCAGTAATACATTTTATTTTAGATCCTCCCTCCGGAACAGTGCAGGATGCTTTAATGAAAAATTAAAACTACTCAATGCACCTGGCTGAGTCTACAAAGCTAGATCATGAGTGAGTTTGTAGGATGACACTCAGAACTGGGGTCTGTCAGGGGATGGACGAATCCCAAGCCTCTCGTGTGATTAAAAATACCATAACATCTACTATGGTTGGGAACCCCAGAAACTATGGGATTTGAAGTACTATATTTCTTTGACGTTCTCTAAGAATTGTTTCTAGTGCTATTCCGCTGTCTATCCGCCAAAAATAATGTTCAAGTACTATGGTGATGGGAGTGTTATTATCCCCTCAATAGTGCTGAGACACTTACTTAGGAAAGATGCTAACATAATATTTTAATTTACTAACCTTAGGTCCATAGAAAGCTCCATCCCCAGGGTTCAAATCCCACTTCTCACCAAATTCATTGAGGCTGTTTTCAAGTTGCTGGAGAAAGGATACGTGTGATTTTAGTGTTTCACTTTGTATTTATTTCATGTGCCTTATTTTTTCTTCCACGTAGTACAGTGTCAGATCCACACACAGAGAGTTAGTGAATACTAGGTCATTCATTACTTAATTGTCAACAATGCCCAATTATAACTGGGGACCCAATCTTGCTTCCCTTACTTGTGCAGTTGAATTTAGCAGTACTACTGTCATGATTAAGGTGCAGCTCGGCTCTTGGATGGTGGCTCAAAATTCTGATCACACACATACTTGAGAAAAACCTATCTTGATTTCTTCTCCATTTTAAGCAGTCACATCTTCTGGCCCTTTCTTTAAAATGAATTCAAGTTCTCATATCATCATCCACCATGATCTCCATACACTGAGAGCTGCTATTAGCCCGTGGCAAAAAGAATTAAAAATGGCTGTACAAGCTGAACTGCTTACAGCCACAGCTGTCACCAGTCCACCTGGAGGCCCATTTTTCCCCCCCTCAGACATTCCACTTTCCCACTACTTGAATATACAGCTAAAACCTCTCCACCAGGCCATTGAAGTTACCTATTACCTTTTCAGCTTGATTCCACACTTCAATATCTCCAAGGAACTTTTCAGGACGAGTGGAGAGGTCCAGTTTGAAGGAAAATCCAAACACACCATACACAGCTTGCAAGAACTCCAGACAGCTCTTTATCTCCTCTTCAATCTTTACATGAAGACAAATCATATGTAAGGCTTTGTGTTGCTTGCATTTTAACACGTATCATCTGATTCAACAATATGCTTTACCTGCTCCATGGCACAGAATATGTGAGCATCATCCTGCTGGAACCTCCGTACTCTAGTAAGTCCTGTAAGGGCTCCTGACAGCTCATTACGATGGAGAACTCCAAAATCTGCCATACGCAGCGGCAACTCACGCCACGATCTTGGTCGATGGTCAAACATAAGGCTGAAGGAAAAGGTTCATTATTTGAAATTCATTCAAGATTAAACTATTAAAGATCCTCAGTGTACATTCTGATAAGCCAGATGCTAGCAATTTCAGTAATACCTACAAGTTGTAATACAGCACAGAGTCAAACCCAGAGAAAACTTTCAGGGGGAAAAAATTCAGGGCTGTTTGGAAGAATGATAAAGAAGGTTTTCCTAAGAGCCATACAGCATCTGAGTCAAATATTAAAAGCTGGCTTCTTAAACTTCATCTGTGAAATGGTGATATGTATCTTTCCCCCTTCCCCCCCCCCACACACTCGTATTCAACAGTTTCTGCCATTTATTTTGGTCTTGTGCTGGTCCATTCAGACTTCTGAGGATCACATTGATGGATGTGGCTTTTCTCTATTGTTCTGTATAATGTTTCTCTAGGTTGCCCTTTTTCTCTCTCCAGATGGTGTCCATATTGTCACTTTTCATGGAAGTAGTGTTGGTGGCATCTTTAAGGTGTCTCTTCAATATGTCCATCATCATCATCTTACCATATTTGGTTCTTTAGATTGGTTTGCTCTACTTAGAACAGGGTTGGGCAAACTTTTTGGCCTGAGGGCCACATCTGGGTGGGGAAAGTGCATGCAGGGCCATGAATGTAGGGATGGGGCAGGGAGTTGGGGTGCAGGAGGGGGTGTGGGAAGGGGTGCGGTGTTCAGGAAAGGGCTCAGGGCAAGGGTGCAAGAGGGGTGCGGGATGTGGCAAGGGGTTCAGGGCAGGGGGTTGGGGTGCAGGAGGGGTGTGGCAGGGGGCTCAAGGCAGGGGGTTAGGGTGTGGGGTGCAGGAGGGGCTCAGGGTGCAGGCTGGCACCGCCTACCTCGAGCGGCTTTGGGGTAGCAGAGGTGCGCAGCGGGGCTAAGGCTCACATACTTTGTCCTCCCCTTGTTGATGAACAAACCAACTTGTTTTGCTGTATCTGCCAAAAGCTATGTCTTCTCTTCCATTAAGGCAACGTCATCAGCAAAAACAAGGTCACCCAATTGTGCTTTATCATTTGTCCATAAAATTCCTCAGTTGCCTTCTGCAGTTACTTTCCTCATGACTTAGTCAGTGACCAGGACAAACAATACTAGGAACATAATACACTCTGTGCCTTACTCCAGTTGTCACTGCAAACCATTGGCTGACGTTGTCGCCATCTCTGACTACACATTCAGCATCATCATATAAATCTGTGATTACTGTAATTATTTTTGCTGGTATTCCATAATATGCCATAATTCTCCAGAGACTGTCTCTGGGTACATTGTCAAAAGCCTTCTGGAAATTTATAAAATGTATCACAAAAGGTACTTGCCACACCACACTTTGTTCTATAATATGTCTGAGAACAACAGTATGGTCTGAACATGATCTCAACAGTCTAAAACCCACTTGTTCCTCTCTAAATTGAAGGTCCAGGATGATGTTGCATATGATTTTGCCGGGTACTGAGAGTCATGTGATTTCTTTCCGGTTATTGCAGTTGGTAAAGTCACCCTTCTTTGGCAATATTACTATAAGGCCTCTCTTCAATTGGGTTGGGTTCTTTTCTTCATTCCATATTCTACCCAAAAATAGAAGGAAAGTCTGGACAGTTATTTTGTCACTTTCTTTAGGCATCTCTCCAGTAATGTTATCTCTTCCAGTTGCTCTCTCATTTTTGAGTTTACTGATGGCTTTTCTAACTTCTTCCACTGTAATGCTCCTAAATCAATATCAAGCTCTAATGCTAGGTCTTCATCATGTATTTTTAGTAGTTCACTTGGCTTAGTCTATTTAAAACAGCCTGAAAATGTTCTCCCCATCTTTTCCTTTCCCCTTTTTCTGTAATAAGACTCTTTCCATTTGCACCTTTAATAGGCCCTCCAGGACTGCTAAAGTTTCCTGTTCGCTGTTTGATTGTCTTATACAAGGTTCTAAGGTCACCTCTTTGGCTACCATATTCAGTCTCTTCACATTAATATACGCCCTTTTATCTCTTCTATCACTCCTTTTTACCTTCGTCTAGAGCTCTGTATTCTTCTTGCCATTTGCTGGTCTCTTCACATGCGCTTTTGCTTTACACTTACTCTCTTTTCTACTGCTGCCCAAGTAGCATCGCTAATTCATTCTTCCCTTTTAGATTTCATTCTTATTAGAACTCTTTGCACTTTGTAGAAACCACTCTGAAGTTTTCCCTCAGAGTATCAATGTCTTGGTCTTCTTCATTTAACTCCATTAGAACACTGAACCAGTTATTTAGTTCAAACTGAAAAGCACTTTTTGTGCTTGGGACTTTTAATTGTGCGCTACTGATGTGCGGTCTTCTTTAACCTTCTTCATCCTCTTTAACTTGATCTTCAATGTAGCGATACAAAAGTTATGGTCACTGCCCACATCTGCTCCCCTGTACATCTCTCTTCCAGCAAGCTGCAAAACATTCCTGAAATGCAGAAGTGATTTATTTGGTTCTTTTTAATACCATCTGGAGAGTTCCATGTCACTTGATGGATTTGTTTATGAGAACATTTTGTTCTACCTATCACTACCTTGTTCATGCTGAAAATTTCTACCAATTGTTCACCATTCTGGTTCATGTTCAAACCCCTGCTGCCCATAATTATATCCAATCCATCATTGCTACTTCCAACCTTTGTGTTAAAAATCACCCATAGTCACTATGTCATGTTATGTTCTGGAACCTTGGTTAACACATTCTGTAACAAATCATAAAAAGCATCTTTTCCCTCATCTGGCATTTCATCAGTTGGCTCATAGCATTGTATGACAACGAATTTAGTCTGAAAGCGAACGGGGATAATTCTTTCATTGACTGATTCCCCTCAGTCAGTGCCTACTCTACTTCGTTTGACATTAGGATTGCTATGTCAGCTTCATGTCTACCATCCACATTCCTGCAGTAGATGATGGCCATATTTGTTTCTCTAAAAGTGTAGTTTGTTCAAACCTGTCCATCTACACTCACTGACATCAAGGACATGGTACCTATCCATGTCCTTAATTACTTGAGCAGCTTTAGTAGCTTCTTACACTGTTCTCATACTCCAAAATCCAATTTTCATCATTGATCTGGTCTTCAGCATTGGACTTCTCAGGACATGGGTTTCCTTACGGTTCTAACCAATGCCAGTCATATTCTTCCCATAAAGTTCACCCATTGCATACACTAAAAACTGGCACTGCACCTATGCACAAATACCTATATCAGGCATACAATGTTTTGGGGATCAAAGGAGGCAGCCAGTTTTGAAAATCTAGCCCTTGCAAAGATTGATTAATAGCATTCATAACTGTATCTCACTGAATTTAGGCACTGTAGACTATATGGTCCTTAATTATCAGATTATATCACCCTTGATAGTGTTTCAAATGTGGATGCCTAAGCAACAGGTCTGTATGTCAGAGGTGCAGACTACTCAAAACCACCACTAAAGCAGAAATGTATACATCTTGGCATCAACTAAAATCAACTTGAAAAAACATGAGAAAGAGAAAGCTACAGAGCTGAACTGAAGATATCAATTAAGAATGTGTCTGTGCACTGGAACAGCTAGAAATTCATAGGTGATCTTGCATCAAATTAAGCAATAGTATTAAAATAGATTATTAAAAAAAAATACCAGAGTGCACCTGGCTTGGATTTTTTCACAAATCAGGTGGAAAATATGAAAGCTAGAGCTAGTTCAAACAAATTGGCAATATTTGATGAAACAGGTGCTATATAAATACCAGTGTCCTGGGCAGTTCATGGGCTTCAGAGCAAAGATTTCCTTCTCCACCTCAAATGAAAACATGTTTTCACTGTAATGCTGCCAGTGCCCTGATGTAATCCAGACTTTGCTGTTGTAGATGTTTGGAGTGACAACCTCCTGGAATCCTCGCTTCCGATACTCGCTCTGAAAGAATAGACCCAAGAAATAGAAGAATTAATAAGGCAGGCTAGAATAGCAACGCTCAACCTGTGGCTTAAAGCCACATTTGTCTCTTTAAGATCGCGTTTGCAGTGTATGACTCAATAAAAACGAGCAAAGTTGCTCCCCTGAAACATGCAAGGCAATAATGAGATAAACAGGCAGGGGCTGCCAAGATTCCTTCCCATTCTTTGGGGCAGCCAGAGAGGGTGAAGGGGTGGGGAATAAGAGAAGAAACATATTTCTCCATCCCAGCAACCATAGAAGCAATCGAGAATCAGTCTCCATTTGTTAGTCACAAAATAATTGAATGCGCCTTGTGATATTGCATTGCAATGTTTGCACTGTATTGTAGCACAAATACATAACATGGTGCAGTGATGATATAAATACAGTATCACAGCAGAATGTCAGCATGTTTTCCCCATGTCTTTTGTTTTCTTACATGCCATTCTCCGAAAAGTAGCTCTCCAACTCTGCCAGGCTAAATTCAATAACCTATTAAACAAACATGCATTAAACCACCCGCGTACTGTATACTACTATATAGTTTTTTAAAAGCAGAACCCATAAACATTTAAAATTAATCCCAATTGTATTGCTATATGGTCTTCTAACACCTTTTTAGCGCTTTGTCTAGAAATCTTATTATAAAACACAGGAGATAAAAAATCCAAAGATATTACTTACCCTAATGAATTCAATTAACGTGTTATAGATGTAAGCTCCCTTTGGCAAGAAAAAACAACTGCCAGGACTGAGCTCATGGAAGAAATATAGTTCCTGGTCCTGTACAAAAACATTGGTACATCTTAGTTTTATCTGATGTTTAGATTCTGATCATACTCTTTTCCTCTCCCAATGTTACAGCTAAAGTCAGGCCTGAAATGTTCTTACTACACATCACTATCCAGACTACAGTATTGTTTAGTTTTTTAAACTTAACATACTGTAAAGTAGCAAGGTGCAGTAGATCTGATATGCTTCCCTGTGTAAATATCCCCCGTCAGGAGCAATAGCTTAAGGTTAAGGTTTAGGTTTCCTATTTTAATATTGATGTTCCTACATATACCTGTCATTTCACGTATCTGTGAGGAATGTCTTCTTAACTACACCCCTCAAGGTTCATCTTATCTGTTATTACTGCTAACAATAACTAGTCCTGCTGTGACATTTTACTTCTCCAAAGCGCAGTTCAAATAATTAATCAGTAAGCTGATACTTCGCTAGATTGTGTTCCTGCTTTAGGGCAGGAGATATTTTAGCGCATTGCTGTCTCCTTTCTTGAAATAGAAACAGCAGACTAACAGTTTATTCAGGACTCTAACTATTAATCACCTTGTCTAAAACAATGCATTTTCATTAAGATGATTTTATTTTATTGGAGGAGAAAGAATAAAAAATGTAGCATAACTGTGAACACTAGAAATACACATCAGCAATAATCAAGAAGAAAAAAGTAAGAGTATATAATGGATTCTAGAGATGTACAAAGAAAAAACTCTAAGCAATGACAAGCTATAGGAGCCCCCTCTAGGAACAAGCTTCCTCTTGGGCTTCCACGTAGCACTAAAATAAACCCCGTTGCAGGCTATAGATCTCCTGCTTTACCCAAGATTGGAGTTTTCATGTTTTGTGCACAGTTACTCTGTGTAGGACAGTTACCATCCTGTTTAGGTTTTTGATTATTCGTGTAAAATAACCAAAAACTCTCTAGAAAGATGCTTATTTGTCTACAGTCCATTGTAGTGGTTTTGGGGCTCCATTCTGAAGAGGACAATCACTTAATTATGCAACTTGTTACTGTATTTTCTGTGAATCACATCACATCTGAAATCTGAAGCATTAGCAGATAGATAGGTGCTGTCTTTCACATGCCCTTTTAAATCACTGAGTAGTCTCTGGTCAGAATTTTAAAAATACACTAAAAAGTTTGTCTTACCCGTCCAATCTTTCTGTGATCTCGATTTTTAGCCTCCTCCTGGAACTTCTCCCATTCCTTTAACATTTTTACATCTGGGAATGAAATTCCATAAAGCCTTTGGAGGGTTTCCATATCAGACTTGCCTTCCCAGTATGTTGAGGAATTCTGAAGACAGACAAAACTGTGTAGTATAACAAAGACAACAGCACCTGCCATTCTGATTGCCACTGTACAAGTTCTGTGATATGTTCTTTAAAGGCATGCAATAATTAAAAACTGAACAGCCATAGTTAAAAAATGAAACTGATAAAGGCACCATGTAAAAAGAACACAAGCATGAAAACAGAGCTCTTAGATTTTTAATGATGATGAAAGTTAAATCTACACATTACAAAATAAAGATCCCTGACTGTAGCAAAGATGCACAAACACAAGTCGGCTGGCTGTGTGAAAAGGTTTCCTTCACTGCCCTCTACTCCTGGTGCTGCTCTGTGCATGGTCAGTCCCCTCTGTCTGCTCCAATTTACAATAAACTACAAGGAGCAGCTACAAGGGGCAAAAATTACAAGCCAGGATCGGCATAGCATACGGTGTACCTAGCTATACCCCTTTCCTTGAGTCATGTCCCCTCTCTTGCTATGCTATCAGCAATGAGCGTAGGCCCAGGCCCCCATAATCTGACTGCACCACTGGAAGGTCACTCTGACATCAGGATGCTCCTCCCTCAGCTGGGCTAAACTAAGTTTCTGATCAGATTATACTAGCAGTGTGGCACAAAGGGCCAGACCCCCCCCATTCTCCCAGAGATTTGGCCCATGATGTCAATAGGTAAATATCTTTGTTTAAAATTAGGCATAGAATCTCAATGCTTACCTTATGGATTTTTAATGCTTTTATTTTGCCGGTATGTCTGACATGAGGGCCCCTGCACAGATCTATCAAGGGACCACACCTGTGAAAATGCAAACAAAGACAATGCTCAGTTAGCCCACATTATGTTAGTAAATACTACAGACACTGGCATTACAGTGTGTGCGTATTTTTTTTTTTTTTACCTGTACACTGTAGTCGTTGGAGTGTTGACTTTTTCATTCAAGATCCGACACTTGAACTTATTATACTGGGAGAGAATAGAATGGCAGAGTCCATGTTAATTCTTCACGACTCGAAACTGCAATTCAAATCTCAAGTATTTGTTATGTGCTATTGCCACTGTATGAAAGAATCTATTCTACTAATTTAAAAGAACCCTTCAATGTGTGTTCATGAACAAACTAATTCCTCTCCTCCGATCCCACAGATGGGAGAGTATCCTATGGAATGGGCTAGATATAGAGATTAAAGGATGGGGAACAGCTTTTTGTAGCACTTGTGTGGCCTCCTATTCAGGGTAGACCTTCACAAAGAAATCCATTTTGGTCTATACGGAACAACGTAGGTTCATCTTGATCTCTGGCCATTGGGTTCCACAGCTGAGGGCACTCTTCTGAAAAAGCTTTTCTGATGCTAAATTCTGAGAGGTCTTGAACACATGCAACTCCCATATTATTCTTTCACTCATCAGCAAGGAATATATGACAGTGTGGTATGAAGCTTTTATCAGCATCAGTTTTGCATGGACACACTTCTGAGGAGTGGCAAAGTTCATTCAAATCACTTGGAATTTAATAACTTGTACAGTATATATGAGGATTTAGACAAAACACTCAGAGCTCTATTCACAAGGGGGATTGCAGTGTTTCTTTTAAAAATAGGGCAACCAACTATATTTATGTTGTTTCCTTCGAAGCTTATAAAATTGCTTCCCCCCCGTAATCCTTGTGTAAACACCAGTATTACTGCTGCTGATCTCTGAAAGAAAAGTAATTCGGCTGACAAGCAATTAACCTAAGAGCCAACAGAAGTCTAGAAAACATGACCTATGAGGAAAGATTAAACAACCCCAATTTTTTCAGTCTGGAGAAGAAAAGACTGAGAGGGGACATGATAACTGTTTTCAAGTACATAAAAGGTTGTTATAAGGAGGAGGGAGAAAAATTGTTCTTAACCTCTGAGGATAGGACAAGAAGCAACGGGCATAAATTGCAGCAAGAGTGGTTTAGGTTAGACATTAGGAAAAACTTCCTGTCAGGGTAGTTAAGCACTGAAATAAATTGACTAGGGAGGTTGTGGAATCTCAATTACTGGAGATTTTTAAGCGCATGTTAGACCAACACCTGCCAGGGATAGGATCAGGGGTTCTCAACCTTTTTTCTTTCTGTGCCCCCACCCCCTCCCAACATGCCATAAAAACTCCATGGTCCATGCGTGCCACAACAACTGTTTTTCTGCATATTAAAGCTAGGGCCAGCATTACGGGGTAGCAAGGAGGACAATTGCATGAGGCCCCATGCCACAGGGGGCCCAGTGAAGCTAAACTGCTCAGGCTTCAGCTTGAGCCCCATGCGGCAGGGCTTCAGCTTTCTACCCTGGGACCCAGCAAGTTTAATGCCAGCCCTGCTTAGTGAACCCCCTGAAGCCTGCTCGCAGCCCCCCAAGGGGCCCCAACCCCCTAGTTGAGAACCACTGTCTGGGACAATATTTGGTCCTGAGTGCAGGGGACTGGACTAAATGACCTCTCAAGGTCTCTTCCAGTCCTACAATTCTATGATTTTCATTTCTTCTAAGGTCTGTTCACTCTGTTAATACTAAGCAAATGGAGTTCAAGCAAAAATGCTACAATATCGGAAAATGCTCGTGTCTACTTCAGCACTAGTAGCCATCATGGTGATTTAATGTATGTTCATCTAGTGGACATTACAGGATAACACAAGAGTCCTTGTTGCTTAAAGCAGTACAGAAATTATTTCATACTCAGACTTAGTGCTGTCATCTAAAAATTGATTTTAAGAGCTCGCTGAATACAGCTTCAGACATCTGCAAAGCCAGCACTTACTATCACTAGTGTTTTACATTCTCAAAGAGTTATAATCCCATCCCATTCATGTTCACAACATCAATGTAAGCTATTATTCCAATTTTGAAGACAGGGAAACGAAGTAACAGAAAGACAACTTTCCCAGCACCATGATGTGAGTCAGTAGAAGAATCAGATTAGAAATCTGGTGTTTCGGGAACACAGTCCCATGATTAACCCTCATTCCCTCCATTTAAAAAACTAAGAATTGGTATACGTGCTCACCTTTAAATATTAAATATCCCAAGTAAACCCATATAAAAACCTATACCTTTGGAAATATATTGTCAATTTGCTGCACACATCATCAACGGTGCATTTTCCACTAATACTAATAGGAGATGCATCACTAACGTTCCACAGCTAACATTATTGTGCAGGTACAGTAAATATGAAACAGTCTAGAACAACCTACCTTAAACATTTCAAGTAGAGTTTCCTTCTTAATTTCCAGTCTTTCAAATGGTTGTTTTTCCTTCATGATCTTCTTGCATAAGGTCTCCAAAGCAGAGAAATCATTACTGGACACACCTCTACAACAGACAAAAATAAATTTGCCTTATCTCTTACTAGTAATCTCTGCCGTAGTTCTGCCCCCACAACGTATCAGCTCATGCACTAGAGTCATTGCAATGAGGGAAATAATTTTTATCAGAAAAAGGGCTGGTCAAAGTACTTTGCCTCAGGAGCAAGGGGAAGCAGGAACTAGACTGTGACTCAGACTCCCCAGATTGTGACTTCACTCCTGCTCCTTGGGTAGCACAGCTACGCATTCTGCCTTTTTCTTGGTCTGGAACGTAGGGTTACAATCCAACCTTCTGGAAGTGAAATGAAAGAACCTACCCATTCTCGAGGTACATGTCATAATAAAATCCATTTTCTATTGGTGGGCCGTAGCATAAACATCCACCATAGATTCGCTCCATAGCTTCACCCATTATGTGAGCACTTGAGTGCCAGTATACCTAATGAGAGGGATAAAAAGGGGATCAGCTTGAGTATTTATGTACAAAGCATTTCAAGATCCTCTGAAATCCATACAGAAGTCTTTTGATTATTTGTTTTTACAGATACTTGAAGGAAGAGATCTAATATTAGAGCCTGTTGCACTGTGGGAAATGATTCACATATCAATTTGCCAATTTACCCCCCAAAATCATGAGTAATTATCTGACAAATTGTACTTGCTCATCTTTACATCCGTTAAGTATTGGCAAAAATTATTTCATAAAAGTTCTCTCAAATGGTTGGGGAAGGAGAGAAAATTCACTTAGTAAGTTGCACAAATGTTAATTGACTAGCCTCATTTACTATAGTCATATATCATCGATCTACTTTAAAATAGCAGCAATGGAGCAGTAATACAGGCTGGGATCCATGAAGGGACTTACGTGCTGTGATACAGCATTGCAGCACCTAACTTCTAGGGGCCTAGAGAATCAGAGAACTACACTGCGATCCACATAGCCCAGTTATGTGTCTAGGCTCCTATACGATGAGTGGGGAGAGACAGGCACCTTGGAATGTGATCCACAAAAATTCAGCACACTTGGCACTGAGCCACCCAAGCTAGCTAACAGGAGATGCCAATGACAGGGAGTGTGCCAAGTCCCGCCCCTCTCTCAGAGATAGGCACCAAAGTCCCTGCAGCAGGGAGGTGCCTATCTTTGTTTGCCATCCACAAACGGGAACCTGCCGCCTGGAGAATCAGGTCGTTTAGACACCTATGCTGCTTCTTGTAGAAATGAGTTAAGTGCCTGCCTCACTGTACACAAAATGGACGGAGGAGGAAGAGCCACCATCTGTGATATACCTTTTAGCCCAGTGATTAGAGCACTCACCTGGGATATGGGAGACCCAGGTTCAGTTCCCCCCTCTCTGCCTGAAGGGGAGAAAGGATTTGAACAGGGGTCTCCCACACCTCTCAGGAATGTGCTGTGACCACTGAGCAATGGGAGATTCTGATGTGGGGCACCCTCCGTCTCGCCCGTTGAAGCTATTCCCCTGAGGATAAATAGTGATAGTGTGACTAGGTGGGTGAGAGACACACACTCTCTGTAGTCCGGTGGTTAGGGCACCCACCTGGGAAATGGGAGACCCTGAGTCTAGCCCCCCCATTCCAATCCCTCTTTCATTATTTCTCTCTCTTTCTCCCCCCTCCCACTCCATCCCAGATTTCGAATGGGACCCAATCCGGTAAGCATGCTCAAGGGGCACCTATTGGATTGGGCCCCGCATATGACTTAGGAAGCCAAAAACTAAGCTTCCCCCCCAAGCCTCCCAGGTTCATGAATTGCTCTGGGGCTAAGGCAGGAGACAGTTGTCTGGACCCTTATCATAGATTCTAATCATAGAATATCAGGGTTGGAAGGGACCTCAGGAGGTCATCTAGTCCAACCCCCTGCTCAAAGCAGAACCAATCCCCAACTAAATCATCCCAACCAGGGCTTAAAGTGGGTCAGCAGTGCTCATGCCACAGGATCTAAAACTTAGGGAACTTCTACAGTTGAAAGTTAAACGCTGAGTGGGTTTAGGTGCCTTGTGGGTTAGGCAGCAGGCAAGTGGGAGTTTCATGGATCACAATGGTGCTGCGCACAGGGACTTAAGTGCTTAAACTGGAGTTTAGGCACCTACATTACTTTGTGTATTGAACCCACACAATACTTAGTTTGAAAGATACAATTGGAACATAAGGTCTTGATCCTGCACCTGTGCAGGAGTTTGCAACATCAGGGCCTAGGTTGTTACACATACAACATGGGATACATAGCAAATAGTCTGTCTTTCCACGTGATAGGATTTTTTTATTAGTTTGTGTTTTCAATTAAAAATCAAATGAAGACAAAAATTACACTTGAACATTAATTTTACAAAGCTACTATTTTTAGTTTTGTTGATAAATTAAAACCAAATCTATATGACTGCAGCATGTTTTTAAATGTACATATCTGAAAATGCAAAATTATGCATCTTACCATAACTGTAACTTGTCCACGTTGCACATAAATAGAATTATTTTGTATGCCTTAAACTATATCATATGTGCAACATGGCAGAGTTAGTTGATATGGGAACAATAAGTATGAATTTAAGATCTCAGCTATAGAGTTGAGTGCTGCTTGCACCGAATATCATTTTTAAAGTGTACTTAATACTACTTTCCATATTTACATTAATCTGAATAAACAACCACTAAAATAAAGAGCTACATGTTTATGACGTACAAAAAGACACTAATACAAAAAAACCCACATTAATGTAATATTAAGATTAAGATTGCAGATTTAGAGGCTTATTCTCACCACAAGAGTCCTAACATAGGCTTAATTACCACAACTGCTAGCAAAGCAATTGCTATGAATACATGCCAGCATATATATATCTGCAGTAGCACACATCTTTCTTAAGAAGTAGTTAGTAGAAAATAAGGTATGCACTGCACAGCAATTTTCATTCTTTAGTCCACAAATGTTAAAGGTAGTTATGCTCACTGAGGACTAAGTTCAGGTTTTGAAGTTTCTCATCCAAGGGAGGGGAGAACCAGTTTAGTGGAAGATACTTACTGCTTGAGCATCTTCATCTTCAAACTTGAGCAGTTCCAGGGTACAGTCTTCCTCCAAGGGACGGTCTAGATCCCAAACCACTTTGTTCACTTTAGCAATAACGGTGTTGTCAGCTAAACCTTGACTATACAATAAATAATTTGTATGTCAGCTATTGGAATCAACAAATGGAGACACTCCCCCATAACCTTTCCCCTGCACAGTCAGGATGGGATTTTCAAGAGTGCTTAGTGTTGACTTAAGTCTGCTTCCACTGAAGTCAGTGGTAGAACACCCTCGGATGGCAATGGAAGCAAAGTTAGACCAACACTAAGCACTTAAGAAAATCCCACACATTTTTTTTTTTTTGGATGAACAGGAAGAAACTAAAGGTAGTTTATTTAGCAAATTCCCCACTGTGGCGCACTCTTACTAACATATTTGACTTATTTAGGGCAGTACTTGCTGCTAATATGACCCTTCTGCAATAGGAGATGCAGCCTCTTTTAAGCAAGTACCTGAATGAGATCAGATTTTTCTTTTTGAAAACTTCAAGTAGGTACTATTACTTTTACATTTGTCTTCACTAACAAAAAAACCCAACAATTCTTAAAGATGATAAGTTTGGCAGTCATTTGAACTTTAAACTGAAATTATTAAATGTTTGAGCAGATCAGTAGTTCAGATGGATTGACCGCAAGAGAGAAGCACACCATGAGTGTTTCTAAAGTACTTAATTTAGAGCTGAACAAGTCTCCAAGAAAGACCTAGTTTTTCCTTCTAAGTTTATTTCACCTCAACCTAGAAGAAATCAATTCTACTGGAGATTATTTGATGTCTAAGAACCATCCCAATATTGTTCAGAAACATCCACTGATACTGAATTCACCCTGACCTTAATGGAAACACTAAATGAACATAGGTACAATCTTTATTTTTATGATAAAGGACACTAAATTAAAGTTTGAGGCCAAATTTTCAGAGACTAACTGTTTTGACAGATGAATGAACATGCAAACAGCATGTGCATGAACTGCCAGCCTTAAACATATGTACCAAGAAAGCAAAGAGACAAGCTTTTAAGTACAATGAATAACCTAGCCACAATAGGGTTAGTGTTTCCATTTTGAAGTTTAAGGTCTTCTCATTTTAATTCTGAGCATCATAAAACATGACCATGAAGTTTTCCAAGATGCTTACTACATTGCCCAAAACTACAATAAAAGTTTAATCATTTGATATACATCCGAAGTTAGGGTAGTGCTCTTTTTGACGTGTACCACACATATGTAGGAAAATGGTTTAATTAAGATATTTTTATGGATGACTCTCACTGAAATTAACAGGTGTGTCACCCACCAGTCTTCCACATGTCAATGCAGAACAGATTAAGTTACGCGATGCAATAGCACCCAATCCTGCAAACACTTCAAGCATGTTTGTAACATTATTTGCATGGTTGATTAGTTCCCAACTCAACAGGAGTAGTCATTTAGTAAAAGTTACTCACATGTTTATGTATTTACAGGATCCAGCCCATAAATAATTATTTAATTTTAGAAACAGCATCTTCATAAGGCAAAGAATTATGTTTTGAAACGAGAAAGCGGTTTAGTTTGAATTTATAGCAAAAGCAAGATTGCTAAAAATAATGCCTTGAAGAAAATTAAGTTGTGCTAAGAAATAAATAACCCCTCATGCTAAGGACTATAAAAGATCACAGATGCAATTTGCAGTAGTTGTGTCTGAAACTGATAGCATAGGTCACAGAAGTCAGTCATACCTAATTCCACAAGCAACTTGATAAGGAGTGGTCTTCCAGGATTCAGCATCAACCTGTTTGCCATCAGGTAATGTGACTTTAATGGGTTTGCTGTCTTTTGCAGCTCTTTCTGCTAGAAGCGCATCATGTTCTGCTTTAAGTTTATGATACCTCTCTAGACGCTCATTGATATATTCAGGCCAGGGATTCAGCTACATATAAAAGAATGGAGGAAAGGAGAAGTATTTAGCAAAGACTTCCAGTTCTAATGACAAATAACTTTAAAAATTAAGCAAAGAAGGTAAATTCTTTTGAAGTGTCTAAGTGACTTAGCAATCTGAATCTCATTGATCTTCAAGTTATTTGGGTCCTTATGAAAGTTTTAGTCAGTATCCTTTTTCAAAAGATAGAGAGGGGCCAGGCTAGTTTCTTAGCGAAACAAGCAGCTAATGCGATGCAACAAGAATTTGAGAAGCACAAATTCTACTGTAGCTTAATACACACTGGAAAAAGCAAGCTGCTGACGTTATCATCACAATAATAAATAGGAGTGGGGGGAAAAAGAAAAATCTAACAGCACATTGTTTCAATTACAAACAAAAAATTTTTATATCTTATGCATCTCAAGATCTCCTACTTCCACCTCCTAGAGGTATAGAAACTCTGACTCAACCTTATTCTAATTAATCAAATCCTACTAACATCCCAGCTAACCTGTATTGATGCTCTACCTTCCCTATCCATCTCCACTTCCTTCTTCCATTCCCACTTTAACCTGCTACTCTTCCACTCTTCCCATTTACTCCTTCAATAGTCTGCATCCAGAAGTGCTGCTAAAGCTGTTTAAACGCTAAGTAATCATAATTAATTTCTAATTTAAAGACAAAAAAAACTTTAATTTAAATCATCTTCATCTTAATTTAGCTAAACAAACATTGGCTTGTACCTGGTTTATAGTAAATTGCTTAAAATTCTAATATGCCAAATAATAAAAATTTCAGGAAGTACATAGTTAAGAAAAAAATTATGCTTTTCATGTCTATACTACTATGTATTCTCATTTGCTCAAAATTAGAAAACTTAGCCACTAGAAAGACAAAGGTTATATCATCATTACAAATGCATCCCTCATCCTGGTGCAAAGCAGAGGACTAATAGTAAAAAGGGAATGACTACAGACCGCTCTACAAATCCAATGTAACCTGTTGTAATAGCAGCAAAGAAACAAAAACTATTTTGTAACTATTTCACTGCTGCATGTCATTACTATAAACCAGCTGGAGCATAAGAGCACCCACAATACTACCTGTAATGAAGCAGTTCTCAAACTGTGGGTTGGGACCCCAAAGGGAGTCGCAACCCCATTTTAATGGGATCCCCAGGGCTGGCTCAGACTTTTTGGGATGGGGGCCAACGCCTGAGCCCCACTGCCCAGGACCAAAGCCGAAGCCCAATGGCTTCAGCCCTGGGCAGTGGGACTCAGGTTACAGGCCCCCTGCCTGGTGCTGAAGCCCTTGGGCTTCGGTTTTGGCCACCCCGCCCAGGACGGTGGGGCTTGGGCTTTGGCCCTGCCATCTGGGCTCAGGCTTCGGTCCCCTCATTCTGGGGTCGTGTAATAATTTTTGTTGTCAGAAGGGGGTTGTGGTGCAATGAAATTTGAGAACCCCTGGTGTAATGCATTAGTGTCCTTGGTACGATATTCAGCAATACAATTAAATTGTTTAAAAGCATATAAATGAACTGGAAATTTACCTCTGTGCAACCCCCATCACCAGATCCTTCTTTCATTTTCTTCTTTCCCCATTCCTTCTTTTCTTCCCCAGCAGCTATCTAAAAAGAGAAATTAAAGTAAGATTAGATTCTCTCCTTTCTCAATGTCAAGTTTATAACTGTATCTAACTCTACAGGTGATGGAGAAGGTGTCCATTGGTTTAAGCACAGCACAGCACAGCACAGGGCTTCAGGAAGTCTTGAATCCTAACACCAGCTCTGACAAGGATTCTTCATATCCTTAGACAAGTCACTACCTCAGCTTCCCCAGTTCTAACTGGGCACATAAGACTTACCAACTTGTTGTGAAGAACAGTCAGTAACTCCCCATTTCTAAGGGGCACACTTCTGCTCTATATACTTTTCTGTGTTTTGCTTTATCTTTTACTAAATATGCAACGTGACACTATAATTGGCAGCAAGCTGCACAGGGCAGGGACTTCCTTTTTCTATCCACCTGTAAAAACACCTTGCACGGGTATGGCTCTCTGCATTTTTAAAAGAGTACAGTCTAGAGCTTAAAGTCCAATCTGGAGAGTCCCAAGATCACATCACTTTTAAATCACTGGTTAAGAGATGACAATTTAAAGTGGAAGGGAAATATGTGTATCAGCACTAATGTCTAAGGTGCCACAAGGACTCCTCGCTGTTTTTGGAGGTTTCGCTATGCACTGGCCATTCCCTATACGTGTTGTTTTGCAGGGTTTCAACTGGCTTCCTAGGGCCGGATCCTGTGCAGCCCTTGTGCCCGCACAGAGCCCCGCTGATTTTACCAGGGATCCACGGTGGCGCAGGGGTCCCGATGGCAGGGGTCCTGCGCGCTCTGCGGGGCAGGAACAGCACCGTGCTGCGGGTGGGACCTGCCTCGTTGGCGCTGCCAGACCACAACCGCCCACAGGGCCGGGCCGGGCTAGGACAGCCGGCTCGAGCGAGAGGGGAACCCGCCGCCGGGCCGGGCCGGGCTAGGACAGCCGGCTCGAGCGAGAGGGGAACCCGCCGCCGGGCCGGGCCGGGCTAGGACAGCCGGCTCGAGCGAGAGGGGAACCCACCGCCGGGCCGGGCCGGGCTGGGACAGCCGGCTCGAGCGAGAGGGGAACCCGCTACAGGGCTGGGGCTGCCTGAGGTGGGCCGGCCCCCAGGGACGAGCCGGCTCAGGGGCCGGGATGAAGGGGCTTTTCGCCCCCCGGTTCAAACCCAGCCCAGCCCGGCCCGGCCCGGCCCGGCCCAGAGGGTCCGCGAGTCCAGAGCGCTGCGGGGAGCGACCCACACAGCGGCCCCTGAGACGGGCGCGGCACTCACCTGGCTCCCTGCCGCCGCCATGCCGCTCCCCGCACGCAGCCGGGCCCGGATGCCGGTCGGAGCGAGGCCACGCGCAGGCCCAGCCGGCTCTGGCAGCTGATGCAACTGGAGGCGCGGCTGGTCCCGCCCCCGGCAGCAGGAAGCGGGTTGGGGCCGGAGCCCGAGCCTGCGCGGGGGCGCTGTAGCGGCTGCCGCCGGGCAACCTAGGCCAGCGCTAGGGGACAGCACGGGCCGGGGCTGCCCGGCACCCCCCTGCCGCGTCTGGCCTGTCAAAGGGCCTGGCCCGGCGCCATCGCTCCGCCTGGCCTCACGTGAGAACGGCCTGAGCCAGTTGCTCGGCCCCGGGGCTCTGCGGGGCGGCCAGCCCGGAGATCTGTGCAGGGCAGGCCCCTCGCCGTCTTAGCGCCCGGCCCTGTGTTTCCCACCCTACCGGCCACAGCCTCTCTCGGCTGCCCTGCGGTGTGTAGGCCTCGGCAGCCATCGGCGTAAGGACCCCACCCTCTGGGCTAGGAGATGATAAACTAGGCAGCCGGGCGCCTGTGGGAGCAGAGGCTTGACTAGGCCATAGCAGGCTCCATAATCACTCGGCTATCCAGAGATCCTTGCCAAGTTTTGCCAAGAGTCCCCTTCCTCTCCCTTGTTCCCACCCCATCACGCTATTGTGGGATTCCAGAGCTGATCTCCAAACCAAACTCGGGTTACTAAAAGATCTGTCTTGGCATGGCCTCTTTTGGACCCATTTTGGCAGGGGGGATGGACTCTATTGTACTCAGAGATAGTGGGTGAGGTAATAGTTTTATTAGCCCAACTTCGGTTGGTGAGAGAGACAAGTTTCTGAGCCACACAAAGCTCTTCGTGTCTAGCCACAGCTCACCCAGCCTGCCTCCTGGGGATGGGAGCAGCCGTGCCTCTGTTGCATCAGTTGCCTGAGCTGGCTACACCTGTGTGTGACCTTGCCCTGGAACCTGGCTCTGTTCTGAAGACCTGAAGAAGAGCTCCTGAAAGCTTGTTTCTCTCACCAGCAGAAGTTGGTCCAATAAAAGATATTACCTCCGCCACTTTGTCTTTATAATATCCTGAGACTGACATGACTACAACTACTCTATTGTACTAGGACTGTTCCATTTTGAACTACCATGATCACGGGCCCTGATTCTGAGCCCAGAGGATGGGAGACAAAGGTGGTTTACCCCACTAGGATACAGGGTCTGCCAGTATGGCCAGTGGCATAAACTAGAGTTGCCCGAGGGGCTGTTCTAATGTACACCTGAGCTGCAAAAGTCCACACAGAACCATCCAGCAGCATAGCTAGAGCACTCCAACCCACCACAGCCCTCCACCAATATGCCTTGCTAGCCCTGGGCACACCCTGGGGCTGGAGACTCTGAGGAAAGAAGGCTGTGAAGCACATGGGAGAATTCTGCATTATATTTTATAAATATTTTTGTGTATCTCTGTTTGCTTGAGCACTGTGGTGTGGCTCTATGAAACAGTAAGGGTTAATTCCCACTGGTATTCTCCATATGTACCGCAGGAACCAGGCAATGACTAATTTAATTGCTGTGGCTCAGATGGAGACTTCACTGAATCCTCTTCTGGAGTTTGCTTCTATCCCACCTGGGGAGATGCATAAACCAGATTAACTAGGTTCTAGTGTCCCAGGACACGCAAAACTTTAGAATGGAAAAAAGACGACCTCTGAATTCAGGGGGGAGACTGAGAGGCTGAGCATGGAAGATTGCACCCCTTCACAATGCTGGGGGATGACTGGCAAACGGGTACCTATGTATACTTGCAAGGAATGGTTTTAGGTAAAATACTATGTGTGTTGAGCCTTACTTGGTTTAATGCTTTTGTTCTCTGTTGACTATGTTCCTAATTAGGGTAACCAGATGTCCTGATTTTATAGGGACAGTCCCGATTTTTGGGTCTTTTTCTTATATAGGCTCCTATTACCTCCCACCCCCTGTCCCGATTTTTCACACTTGCTGTCTGGTCACCCCTAGTTCCTATATCTAAATAAATCTTGGTCACTGAATTTTTATATAGGTCATAGGCTCATGGAGGGAAGTGTATAGCAGGGGGCAAACTGAGTTGGACATGCTGAGGACATGGTTTGTAAATGGGGGTACTGTAACCTGATACCTGGTGAACTGGTCTAAGAGTGGGTGTGACTTGCAGGATTCTACCCTGAGAAGTACAGGCATGGGCTTGTCTCTCGGGAGGAGTGCTCATGGAGATACACTAAAATTTTGGTCGATGTAAGTTACGTCAGCATACAGCAACCAAAGTATGTGTATCGCTCAGGCGTGTACATACATGGCTGCTTGCATTGGTATTACGTGTACTCACCTGGAAAGCTTGGGTTGATGCAAAGTGCAGTATACAATGAGTAGGTATCCCAGTGTGCAATATGCCATCATCTGGTGCAGTGCCTTGTGGGAACTTTTTGCAGTGCAATGTGGGATAGAAATGGACTTGCTCAGACATCTGTGGAACCTAGGGATCAGTTTCCCAGCATGCAACTTTCTCCATCTCATAATGCCATCCATATCCCATAATTTATGTACCTTTTTTAAAAAAATCCCACAAATCTAGGTGGCACTTTTTGCTGGATGATAGGGAACAGCCAGCATGGATTTGTAAAGAACAAATCATGTCAAACCAATCTGATAGCTTTCTTCAATAGGATAACGAGTCTTGTGGATAAGGGAGAAGCTGTGGATGTGGTATACCTAGACTTTAGTAAGGCATTTGATACGGTCTCGCATGATATTCTTATCGATAAACTAGGCAAATACAATTTAGATGGGGCTACTATAAGGTGGGTGCATAACTGGCTGGATAACCGTACTCAGAGAGTTGTTATTAATAGTTCCCAATCCTGCTGGAAAGGCATAACGAGTGGGGTATCGCAGGGGTCTGTTTTGGGACCGGCGCTGTTCAATATCTTCATCAACGACTTAGATATTGGCATAGAAAGTACGCTTATTAAGTTTGCGGATGATACCAAACTGGGAGGGATTACAACTGCTTTAGAGGACAGGGTCGTAATTCAAAATGATCTGGACAAATTGGAGAAATGGTCCGAGTTAAACAGAATGAAGTTTAACAAAGACAAATGCAAAGTGCTCCACTTAGGAAGAAAAAATCAGTTTCACACATACAGAATGGGAAGAGACAGTCTAGGAAGGAGTACGGCAGAAAGGGATCTAGGGGTTATAGTGGACCACAAGCTAAATCTGAGTCAACAGTGTGATGCTGTTGCAAAAAAAGCAAACATGATTCTGGGATGTATTAACAGGTGTGTTGTGAGCAAGACACGAGAAGTCATTCTTCTGCTCTACTCTGCTCTGGTTAGGCCTCAGTTGGAGTATTGTGTCCAGTTCTGGGCACCACATTTCAAGAAAGATGTGGAGAAATTGGAAAGGGTCCAGAGAAGAGCTTGCCTGCATGCTCGGGGTTCTACTGATCGCCATTTTGGG